ACAACAAGTGGGTCATTGTGTGTCAGCAAATGCAGATCACAGCACTTGTTCTAGGTGAGTCTGACAATTGATGCATCATTCAGGACGTTTGCTTGTTGTCAGTGGTCAGCACTCATCTTTTGATGTGCAATGGAGCGTATAATTAGATTCAGATGACTTGTGCCCCCGCCGCACTGTAATTGTCTGAATAGTTATGTTGAATAAAATAACAATAATAAATGAGCTAAAACAAACATTTCATTTTGATTAAAAAAACTTAAAATGTTTAAATAAATATTGCATAATAATAAAATAGATACAGATAGATTAATAAAAATAGATCAATAAAATATTTTATATTTTTTTAGATACATTTTGAGTAAGAGCCATGTTTATTATTTGAAAAGGAGGCTCATACACTAATATGCAAATCTAATGTGCCCTATTTTATAGCAGATTATTTGTAATAATGTTTATTGGTATTAAAAATATTTCATATCATTCATTTGTAAAGTATTTTACAAGTGTCTCTGCACAGACATTTTTCCATTTATAATAATAAAAAAATCTTATTAAAGAATTACTGAAATAAACAGAATAACATGTATAACAGTTTCATTATAGAAAATTCCATTATATGACTGAATTAATTATACAAATAAGCACTCTAACTTATATATTGATGTAATATTATTATTATAGGAAACAAACATTTGCAACATACCATTTTGTTACATTTCTTTCATTTTCTACACTGTAAAAATAATGATTTTTAATGTTGTAAATAATGATTACTGGAGTATGTTTTACAAGAAAAGCACTTTCTGTTTCAATCTTTCTACTTCAAAATTTCACATTTAATTCAATGTGTTACTTGCAGTGTGTTTTCTTTCCTTCTAATTGGTTGTAAAATCTGCTTGCAATTCTGAGTGAAAATAGTTTTTTACGTCAATTTTTTGTTTGTTTTTTGAAGGGACCCCCAGTCATGATGGGTAATCAGAAGGTCTTGATCATTTGGGTGTGGATGTTACTGTGGGTGTCGTTGTATCCTTGGGTCCACTGCAGGCGTGGAGGAGGTTTTGGTGGCAGGGGCAAGGGAGTGGGTCTGCCAGTCAAAGCGCCTCCTTCCCAGAGCAAAGGCAGGCAGGGCCTGAAGCTGGCAGGTGCTGCAGCCGCAGGGGCTCTCGGTGGAGCGGCCATCGGCTATGGGCTGGGCTCTCTGGGCAGACCGAGATATGGCTACGATGGCTCCTCAGAGGCGGACAGGCGCTATTACCCGGATGGACCAGGATACTACAACCGCTCGGACTGGCGGTATTACAGGAACGCAGGCAGCACAGAGCACGTGACCAGCGTCCTCATAATACTCGGAACAGTCGCACACATCTTTATGTGGGGATGAGTTACGGGGTTTGAGGCATTTCTTGTCACAGAGAGACAAGATGCAGAAAGGGTTCATTTTAAACAGAGGATACAATCATTTTCATTGATAGAGTGTTTGATAAAGAGGAAACTAACTTACACCAGCAATATACTTCGAGAAATATGAAATTTGAGAAAGTTATGACATTAGACCACACTCACACACACACACACACACACACACACTACAAAAGTAAAACTTAAAAGTAATCATATTCAGCTTTGGCATCAGGAATAATTTTTTTAATATACATTTTAAATGTAATAATATTTTAAAATATCTAAAAAAAAAAAATCTTAATCCAAATTTTTGACAAGTAGACAATGTCTATATAATAATGATGTATGTAAATTTAGCAATTTACCCATATATTATGCCAGGCTCAAGGTAAGGTCAATTGATAGATTGATTTGATTATCAATTTTACTATTAAACATATATTCAAATGTTTTAGCCAAATGTAATGAATGTTAAATTATATTTAATTTATGCTGTGTTGCTAATGCCTGACAGTTCTGCAATTATATGTCACTTTGGATTTTAATTTAGGATTTTATTAATTTTGGTCAAGCAGTCAAATATTATTTAATACAACTGAAACAACTTTAATTTAAGGGCTAGTATTTGCATTCTCTGAAAATATTTGATGCAAACTCTGTGACCTGAAATGTCATGGGATGGACAAAATAAAAAAAACAGAAGAGCTTTTGCTGTTCCTTTCATGCCGGTGATATCATTTAATACTCTTCTGTTGGTTTCAGGGTTTGATGTGTATTTTGGCAGGCATTTTAAACCCTGTCACTGTTTGCTTCTTGTACTGTTTTCAGAGTGTAAATGAATAAATATTTGACTCTGCTTATTCCTGTCCACTTTATTTGCTGAACCTCCAATTGCTTTCTCCTAATCATGACGTTCGGTTCTGAATGGACTGGTCTCCTAGCAACGTGCCGCATGTATCATGTGAAGGCCTCACTGTGCTCTGTGATGTTACCATAGCAATAGTCTTCATTTTGCTGGGGCGCTTTTGAACAGACCAGCAATTGTTTGATCTATGAAATATTGAAAAGATCAGTATTGTTTTCTTACTGTAGATTTCAATGTACACCACACATTCATGAGGGAAAGGACATTTAGAAAGAACTGAAAGATATGAACTCTAATAAATACTATTAAATAAATAATATAAATTAATTTATCAGTTAACACTTTTTTTTTTATTATTTAATGTTTTCCCCCCAGGAAAATGTATTATTGTTGGTTGTTTTTGTAGTTGATGATGATGATGTTTTTGTAAATAATATAAATGGTTACTGTAATTAAATAGATCCATAACATTAAATCCCTATGAATAAATTAATTGGTTAACATTTTATTACAATAATTATTATTTTTATTTCCCAGGAATAATAATAATAATAATAGTTTTGTATGATATACAATTATTATATTAAAAAAAAAATACATTCATAAAATGCATGGGCCAGTAATACATTTGCCTTGTACTGTATGTTTAAATAGCCAGTGAGGAAAAAAATACGTCTTTTTACATTTTGAGCAGATAAGAGAAACTTCAGTCAAGACTGATAATATACACAACATTTAAAATGTAACTTCACCTTTGGATTCCTAGATTTAGAGAGTGGAAAGGACGGGCAATTGTATTCCTTTATATATAATCAGTGTTGGCAGTGCTACTAAGTGCAACTAAGAAGCATAAAGAAAGTAGAGAGCAACAGAAGCACTTCAGAGACACGGTGTCCATTGTGGTTACTGGAAGGACTGGAAACTTTTCTTCCCTTTTTGTCCTTCTCATCTTCTTTCTGCTTCTCCATTAAGTTCTCAGAATGAACCAAGTACAACTCAACACACTTTCGAGCTTTCATCTGCTCAATGAGAGCTGGATAACCAATCTGTATGATACTCACTGTGTCATCATCATCCTCACGAATCGCAGCAGCCTTTGGATAATTATTGACAGTTGTAGGGGATGTGGTGTCATTCTTCTCCGGCCCACCTTTCTCTAAGTAGTCTATATTCATTGCTGCATAATCAGTCAGTGGCTCATCTCTTTGAATGTTCTTGTGATTTGCAGAATCTGTTGTGTCCTGTTCTTTTAGAAGATCCTTTCGCTTCATGCATGTGCTCATGTATTGCTCATATGACTGGGATGGTTGCTTTGATGTGTAGTTTGGTCCTACTTTGTTATTTCTGTCTTTAGAACGAATGCCCTGACGTTCGTACATATAGTGGTTGTATTGATGCTCCTCCTGAGGGCTACTGAATTGGAAGTTGGGGCGTGGAAAGTTTCCGATTCCATAGCCTACTGCCATTCCTGCCATTGCCCCAATGCCTGCAGCTAGCATTGCCTTTTTTGCGAAGCCTTTGGATTTAATAGAAGGACCATAGCCCATGCTTTTCACTGTATTGGAGAAAGGGGAGCCACCCATGCCAAACCCACCACCTCCAAATGAGCCTCCATAGCGTGGACTGAGAATCTTATTGTTGGGGTTCCAGTTGGGATATCCCCCTCCAATGGAAGGGTGTCCTCCTGGGTATCCTACAGACTGCCCTGCAGTTCTTACTGGGTAAGATCCACCTGCTGGATACCCACCAGGGCTGTACCCACTTCTACCTGGATACTGGTTAGAGTAACCCCCTGCTCCAGGATTCTGGTTGGGATATCCTGCTGGGTTGGATCCCCCTCTTCCTGGATACTGATTGGGGTTGCCACCAGCCGAAGGATAGCTGCCACCAGCAGGATAGCTACCTGCTCCAGGATTCTGGCTGGGATATCCTGCTGGGTTGGATCCCCCTCTTCCTGGATACTGATTGGGGTTGCCACCAGCCGAAGGATAGCTGCCACCAGCAGGATAGCTACCTGCTCCAGGATTCTGGCTGGGATATCCTGCTGGGTTGGATCCCCCTCTTCCCGGATATTGATTGGGGTTGCCACCAGCTGAAGGATAGCTGCCGCCAGCAGGATTGCTACCTGCTCCAGGATTCTGGTTGGGATATCCTCCTGGGTTGGATCCCCCTCTTCCCGGATACTGATTGGGGTTGCCGCCAGCCGAAGGATAGCTGCCACCAGCTGGATAGGCACCTACTCCAGGATTCTGGTTGGGATATCCTGCTGGGTTGGATCCCCCTCTTCCCGGATATTGATTGGGGTTTCCACCAGCCGAAGGATAGCTGCCACCAGCTGGATAGGCACCTGCTCCAGGATTCTGGTTGGGATATCCTGCTGGGTTGGATCCCCCTCTTCCCGGATATTGATTGGGGGTGCCACCAGCTAAAGGATAGCTGCCGCCAGCAGGATTGCTACCTGCTCCAGGATTCTGGTTGGGATATCCGGCTGGGTTGGATCCCCCTCTTCCCGGATACTGATTGGTGTTACCACCAGCCGAAGGATAGCTGCCACCAGCTGGATAGGCACCTGCTCCAGGTTTCTGGTTGGGATTTCCGGCTGGGTTGGATCCCCCTCTTCCTAGATACTGATTGGTGTTGCCACCAGCCGAAGGATAGCTTCCAGCAGCTGGATAGCTACCTGCTCCCGGACTAGAGCTGCCTCTACCAGGATACTGCTGGTTAGGGTTACCTGGGTTACTTCCTGCACCAGGATAAGAGGGTTGCCTGGGATAGTTAGGTTGGGTCTTGGTCCCTTGTGATGGCTTATCAGATGGCTTCTTGGAAGGGGTGTTCTTGCCCCCAAACACTTTCTTTCCTCCTGATGACTTGTGTAGCACTGCCATCAGAACCAAAACGAACAGTACAAGTTTGCATAGCTGCCCCATTTTGGTCCTAACAAATTGAAACACACTGAGTTAGCATAAACTTGATATGCACACAATTCAGAGTTTAAGACTCAAGAAAAATGCTTACTGAAATGCAAAGGCAATTTTACATAGTACAAGACAAGAGCCTAATGGACACTATATACAAGAGAGAAAGAATGGTATTTTATAACATTATAAATACTTGTGGAAGTTATTGCTAGAAAACAGATGCACTTTAGACATTTTAGCTGCATTTATAAGAGATCTAAAAGATACATCTTATTGTTTTGAAAAGAAAGTCATTAAAATGGAGTCAGTGTTTACCACAGCACTCATGGAGGACCCTTTTAGTGTTTAGGAATTGCACATAGGTGAAACACAAGAGAGTAATGGACAGGAAAGCATAGAGGAATATGGTCCTACAGCACTTTCAACTTATATATTTGGTGTCCTTAATACACTTTAGGAGATTGTAACCCATGAAAATGATCTTGAAATGAAAGACACTAAAGCCTAAAGTAAGCATGCTCCTTATGATATTATCTGTGGTGTTTCACTATACTTCAAGCATAAGTATTTCACTGAGAACAAAATCAACAAGTTACTGTACATAAAACATCTTGAAAATAAGTTAATGTATCCCACAAGTGATAAGCTAATTGAGAAATTTCTTATTAACTTGCCATCCTTATGAAGTGACTGATGCTGTTGGAGATTAATGTCAGACAAAAGATTTCCCATAAGGCATACAGCTATAATCTCTTTTTCTGGCAACAGTAACAAAAGAATACTTCTAAATTAATTCGCATGGCTGCTATTAGATGTTTGTAACACTCAAACATGTAATATCAGCAATTTCATGTTAGGAGGTTTTACTTCTGTTATTAACGTACATCTTAAGCATTTTTTCAAAAGTTTTCCTAAGGCAGAAAGAAAAAAAATCATTTTTAAGTCTTTAGGTAAAGACTTACATGATTTTGTCATTTTTAATAAAATGAAAGATCATTTAAAAGGCAATAAAACAGTATTCATAATTATATGAGCTTCAAGTTACATGATAAATTATTAAAATTTTTAACAATCTATTTTATTCTTCAGTTGTTTTAAAGTCCTTTTTAAATCTTAGTATTTAGAATAAGGCAATGGGTCATACGTACATGTAAACCAGGATTTACCAGAATAACATTTTAAATCATTAATTTAATATTTTCAGTATAAATTACCTTTTATATTGTTCCTGTTTGTTGAATTCAATTCAAATTTCAAATTTGAATTCAAATTTGAATTCAATTCAATACAAGTTTTCATATGCCCACACGTTTAGTTAAATTAAAGCATTTATCTTACCATAAAAAGGTTGCTATAGAGGAAAACGTCTATCCAGCAGCTCAATAGAAATCATGTTGACTCCAGTCAAGAGACAGATATTGGTCTGGGGTGTGGCTTTATGTAATAATTTTCTCCGCTTCCTTACAGACAGCCCAGGCTGATGTGCTGTTTTTATGTGCATGACGATGACTATTCAAAAGCTTCTCACAAATCCACCAGAAGACATATAATCTGAATAAACTCTGTCTAAAATAGTTAAAAAAATGTATTTACCCATGGACTTTCATCTTCAGGCTATAAGATTTTAAACATATTTACAAAAATACATAAACTCCAGACAAAAATATTTTTCAACTTAACCCAAATGTCCATATTTTCTGTATATACAGTATGTGTATATATATTTACCATATATTTATTTTTTCTTAGCATGAATTAATTTTAAAAACAGCCAAAACACTATTTTAACTACTGT